AACTCCTATCATTATCTTTGAACTCAATCTTGAAGAGATTTCCTGTAATACGTTTGTAATTTCTGGCCTATAAAAAGGAGTCCTTGGTCCTCATTTTAAACACACCAAAAATCATTCTTGCTTTGTGCTTAAGAAGAAGCAAAGAACGGTTCTCTGCTTTGTGCTTAAAACTGTCCTGCTTTGTGCTATTCCTGAAATCTGCTTCCGTTCTTCGTGCTTTGGGTGTGCCCTTTGAATTTTCTCCAGATTTGGTGTTGCCTTTGTGATGGTGGATTAGATTTTCTGAGCCTAATAAAAGGGGAATTCGTCGTTCTTATTGTTCTTCATTTTTAGTTTTCTAATTTGATTTCCTTTATTAGTTAATTCCTTAACTTACTTGTTTGATTTGTTCAATTGTAGGTGAAATTGGAATCACATCTTCTTTTCAGAGAATTTTGCATTTTGTCTACATGATTGAAGCAGCATTTAAATCAAGGTACATTTCATAAGTTTATACACATACCATCTAATGACAGCCACTTGGCGTGTTAGAAGAGAGCCACCACCTTGACATGCCTCACATTTTATAAATCCGCGCGACCCACAGGTTGCACAAGGAATCGTTCCCTTGCCGTTACATTTGAGACATCTGCACGAGTAAAATTTTCAAATGAATCACATGCTAGATGCAAAACACATATTCCATAAAGCAAGAAGCATAATTATGAAACCAATGAAGTTTACATACTAGATTATGAAAGAAAATGCTCACACTGTGTCTGATCCATCTCTATGAGCAATTAAGCCTCTCCCATAACAAGCAGGACATGGAGACATCTGATTCTCCTTATAGAAACCAGGCTCTTGATCTTTATTGCAAGTGGGACAAACAAATTTTCCACGTCCCGCACAACCTACATGACAGAACGCGACGTACAGAGAAGGAGAGTTGAGAAAAGGGAGAGAATCAAGGGAGAATATAGAGTGAGGAAATACGAGTTTGTTCAATAATCAAATGTAAGTATTAGATGGATAGACCATCTTTATTTAGAGTCTAAGCAAACCTTATTTGAGAAGGAAATAAGGGGAATAAAACCTAATTTAAGTCAAACTAGAAAAATCTATAAAACGAAACCCTAGTTCTAGTAAAACTAGAAGACAATAATAAACTAGAATAAGCTACTCTAAATTAAACTAACTTTATTCATACTATAATGATCTTCTTATCTTAGTTCCCCATCAATACATAATTACAAGAAAAACTATAGTGTTATATTCAAATCCGTACGAGCAAATTGAAGATCATACCCCATAAACATGAGCGGACAAGGAACAATAAAATTACTAAAATTGATACTGATAATAATTAAAAAAAGTAAATATAAAACCGGACTGATGTTCTTATAGCCAGTACCTGAGCATTTCTCAATGGCTTCTGAATGAGGAATCTTGGTCCGTGACTCTTTATGAGGTGTAAATAATACAGGAAACTCAGACTGTAAATCCAATTCCCATATTCCAAGTTCAGGCCCCTCGTGCTTTCCATCAATGTTGCCACCAGAGTATGGTTCCTTTTCTGTTATTGTTTCCCTTTCTTCAATAAAAGTCTCGAGAGTTCCCGTATAAACATTGCAATCTTCAACTGCGTGTATATTCCAAGTCCGAGCAGGACGACTTCCCCAACAACAACGATGACCGACATGATCTATGAGTAGTTCTCGGATTTCTACCTCATCCAATACTTGCCTGTACTGATACTTACATGGATTACCACATTATAATGATCAAATGTAGAGATAGGTAATAAAGCCATAATCCATTGAAGAATCTTAATTTTATGAAACAAACCCCCAACAGACCCAACATGAATTTTAATATGAAACTAAAGGCTATTTTGCGAGGTGATCCATAAGCAATTGCAAAAATAAAACATACACAGGATATGTCTGACTGAGTTTAAGTTCTTTCTATTCCTACTTTTTTTTATTTGTTATAACCTTCAAGTTATTTTAATTTCATAAGAGAGTATGCAGGAACTAATCAACTTCTTTGGGACTTTTGAGCAACCCTCTTGGACGGATCTGCAGCATGTCTTTGAGAGACGCCAATCCAAAACATAAAGAATGCATGAACTAATATAAAGAGGCTTCCACACAAGAGTCACCATAAATTGAAAGTTAATCATTTCACGAGCTTCTATTTCAGTTTCCTTTTGAATAGTTCGACATCTAAATCTTTCTGAGCCACGTGGCACACAGCTAGAAGTATTAGGATCTCTAGTATCAGTGTATTAAAGTGCCTTTTCAGCATGCACTATGAACTCCACCTCATGGATGTTTAAGACACGGGGTTCTTTGATTCCAAATCCAATATTTATCTTCTATCAGTTTTTCTATCCATCATGATGGAATTTTCATTCTAACAATATGAAAAACAATAAGAAGAAAAATGGATTCTTAACACTAACAGGATGATTCAGAGTGAATAAGTAAAGACCCATATAACACACTGTAAATGTTGATCTCATGATTCGTAGTATGAAATTTGATTTTGGAATTGGATAAAAGAAAGAAATATTAACCATCCAAAATTTATGTGTGACCCGAAGTTCCATATAAAGTTTATACGCAAATCCATAAGTAAATTATATCGTATTCAAGTACATAATCAAAACTAATCCTGCCTGCGAGGAGCATATTCAAAACATACCTGCCTACATCAGAGGTTGTTCCTACATGTCCATGATATCCACCCTGAGGATAACCAGTCACTTGTGCTGCATCAATAGACCTTTAATTCATTATCGGAGAAAAATGCATTACCAGAGGTTATAAAATGCCATATGTTAACCAATAAGGAAGTGGAATGAAGAAAAATATTCAAAAATAGGGGCATAAAATCACACAAAGTGCCATAGTTTGGTGGGAATAGAGGCTGAAACATGCACAGTCAAGAATGGAAATACAGGCTTCATTTGCTAACTTAATTCGCCTCTTAAATCTCACATGCTCATAGCTCAGGCTGATAGAGGTTGTCTTAAAAAATATACCCTCTTCTACACTCAACTCTAACTTTTAAAAGCAAATATATTAAACTTTAAAAGTCCTAGAAATTCATTCTTCTTTCAAATCTGATTTCTGCTAAATATATGGACAACAGCTAGAAAATAATACATAAATTTAAGCTTAATTAAGATTCTTGTTCTCGAAATCTAATAAACTAAGCAGCTACAGATTCCCAATTTCTATTGACAATGCGGAATATCAAGTATTACCATTTAGCAATTTAACAAACCACAATCAGAAAAAGTTTTACACGACCCAGAGAGAAACAGACCTGATCCACCACTTGATTACTCCGAAATGCACAAAATTGTAACGATCACTTCTGAATCCCAACACGTACGTTCGGTTCCTTGTGGGTTTACAATCACATTCAGCACCCTCACCTTCAGAAAGGATCCTTAAAACCATCTAGAAATGAGACGGTGCCCAAGGTGCTTATAAATCCACAAGACACGTCAAAACGGTGTGGGATTCAGAAGTGTTACGGGAAAATATAAAGTTATACAATATTTGAAATTACCATTGGGAAAGAAATGGTGAGGTTCGGAGGAACCGACCAAAGGGGCATGTAAAGAAGGCGGGTA